GAAAAGGTGCATTTTGTCAATTTTGTTTGCCCAAGCCAGGTTTAAGTTGTATAACCACCACTCTCTGGATAGCCACTGGTCTGGCTGACCTTGGCAGCACGACAGCTGTCGTATTTTCACATGGATGAACTGTTCTTGAACAACTTCTCCAATGTATCAGGAACAAACAAGCTTTTCTTCAGCATCAGGAATGCAGCAGGTCTTCTTTCCAACTATTTTTTTTTTCTCCTTCCACAGATGTATTTATTGTGGCAATGGCAAGAAAATCCTACAGCTAAGCCTTCGTGTTTGAGTTCTTTTAAATTTCCTTCAGGGGAGTGACAGAAGAGCCAACCTAGATCATGTCAGAGCTTGCTTTCTTTAATTTAACTCTTTGTTTATTTTTAATAAACATGGGCATTAATTTGTAGTGGCAAGAAAAGTAGGAAGGCAAAATCCTTTTACATCTTTATTGCTAGTATTTCCATTTCTGCCATGTATTTATTTGATTTAAATCACTGTGGTAGTTAGCAGTGACAAAGAGCGGGCTGCTGTTGGGGAGGGTATTGCACAAACCCAAAGGGTTTGCGGTCTGATGGACAAAGATGGCCAGCGATGCATGGCAGGGAGTATTTTATACAAGTGGGGTGACCTCCAGTTGGTAGCATGCTCGCTAGGTCCTTCAGCTGAGCGAGGGGAATCAGAAGATAGAAGGAGCAGGAGAGAGCAGGGAGCCGGTGTCAGGAGTTAGAATTAGCAGCATGGGAAGGTGGCAGGGACAACCAGGGAGCTCAGGCTGGGCTGGGGTAAGAGTCCCTTGCTAGCAGAGAGTAGAGGGCAATGGTGAGAGCACAGTCCTGCTGACATCAGAATCTTTTGGGGAATGCAGCAGTTTTGTTAGGAAAAAAACGCTTCATCTCCAAAAAGGAATTTTCTACCAAGTTGTGAGAAAAGGAAAGAACACTCCCAGAAGATCCAATAACCCATGTGTTAGAGCTTCTGCCTGGCAGACAGACGTTCATGTTACTCTGGGACCTGAGTCAGACTTGAGGTTTGTGTTTAACTGATGGTTGTATTTCTGCATCGGTCCTTGCAGTTGCTTGGAGATTTGTAGTAGTACAGTGCCATGGATTAGCTGCTCAGCAGCTTCGCTTCTTGAGTAGTTTTTGCAGCTTGCACTGAGCTGCATCTTAGCACACCTAAATATAACCTACAATTAACTGGTTGTCTCCAAAACTGCACTCCCATACACTCCAACATGTCTCTGTGGGATAAGGGGCGAAGCACAGAGTCCTTTGATTTAATAGCAAAGTCAGCCAGTAAATCCCAGTGCTTTGTAAAAGTTTGTGTGTTTCTGGACCTGAGCTGACTCACATGGAGCTGGCTTGTGTTTCTCTGCTCCATACGCACAAATGCTCTTCATGCCAGGGAGCTCAGTAGTCAGGAAGGGAGTCAGAAAATATGTTTTGTTTGATTAATGCAAAAAAATAAACCTTCAGTGGCAGCAATAAGTATAATGGATGACTGAGTCTTGTGTAGCAGAAGAGCTGGTGTTCAGCAATCATGTGAGTTTGGAGAGAGAGTTAAAGTTGAAGATTTTATTGATGTTCCTGTGTTTTGCACATTTTCTTCATCTTGGGAATAAATTTCAGACCCCAGTGGTTAGTATTAATGCTATATATCCTCTGTGGTTAGTATTAGTGCTATACAGCCCTGCCAAATGTGGAGAAAGTTAGAACTGAAAAAAATAACCCACTGTGAAGAAGTTAGATGCAAACAAACGGGGATGGAGGTTTATGCTTACAAAGAGCTCAGCTCTGTTGGCACTTCTCCTGGACCAGTCCTGTCAATCTAAATCTGAAGTATTTGCAGAGTGAAGTGTTGCTAATGAGCAAGGCTGGCAGGACTGGACTCGAGGTGAAGAAGGCACCTGAACAAGTGGTTTAAATCAGGAACCGAGGGACTGGGCTGAACCCCGTGAATCAAACTGTTCCACTCTTCCCTTGTCTGAATCTGTTCCCATTGGCCTCCCTGCCAAAGCAGGGGGAGGCCGTCAGCCGGTGCGCGCCATGCCAGCTCGGGAGCCGCTCGGCTCTTGTGTGGATGCGTGTGGGATGCTTTTGTGTAGCCGAGGGGACTCCAGCTCTGGTGTGTTCCAAAACAAAGTGCAGCCTATAGTTTGTTTTGTCTTTCAGTGGAATAAAAATACGGCGCTTGGCAGAATGTGTTCTGTAAACAGGCAACTTTTTACTTAAAATGCAGTGAGCAAACTCGGCTGTGTAAGCTTGGGGTCTTGAAAGTTCCTCTGAAAATACTGTTATTTTTTAAGTGAATTTTTTTCTGGAGTTGATCTAATTCAAAGGAAGTTTTGTTTGCTTGCTTGCCTGAGGTTTTTTGGTAGGTTTAAGTAGATAAGCTTCATTTCTTCTGCAGTTTATTTTGGTGAAACTTCTGCAGAATTTGGGGGAGATAGCACAGTGCAAATGGAGTTAGACTTCGAAGTTTTAGGTTACAGTTTGCAGACCCTAAAGGCCAACTCTTGCATTTAATATTATTTTCCAAGCCTTTGAGCTGACATGAGTTCAGACTTTGTAAGGGAAGGGAAGGCTCGGTGTTTCTCTGGAGAGCTTCCCAAGAGCTTTCCATCTCTTTTGGGGTCCTTGGGTCAACCCGCCAACCCCCATTGCCCAGCGCTCATGCATGCTGTGCAAAGCCAGACTGGGAAGGTGCTTCCCACATTTGCATGGCTGACGCTGCCCTTCAGTGCAGATATTTTTAACTATTCCATGTCCCAGCTCTGCTTGGGGCCAAGGTGTTGCTCCAGGGCTGTGGCAGACTGGGCGGGCAGCTGCTGGGCTCAGCACTTGGCAAAGCCGCCAAAAATCCCTCGGCAAAGCCAGGGCAGCACCGGCTTCTCCTCAAAGCCTAAGTGGCTCTGAGAGGTTTTGCCACATAAGGGCCTGTTCGAGGCTGTAGGCACCAGCTGACAGGGATGTCTTTGCCTCCCAACAGATGGCTGGGCTTTTTATTTCAGCAAGCAATCTCGCGCAGAGGGGTGGTCTCTGGATCCTGCCAGCATTTCGCATGACAGGGCCAGCTTAGGGCAAGAGGGATCTGGTGTCCGTGCCCTTCATAACTCATGAGCTAAATGACGAGCTGTTGACAGGAAAGCCATCATCTGAAGTGTAAGATCCTGAACTCTCCCCGCTTTTCGTTTTTCTTTGGCGGAATTAATGCCCTATTTGCTTGTCTCTCAAAATCCATTCTGGCACGAGTACAAACCCTTGCCTGGTGGCAAGCAGTTGTCTGGATTCGAGATGCCAAGATTTGTGCTGACAGCTCCTTCTACACAATCTGAGTCAGGCTGTCACAGCTGGCCATTAGAGGCTTAAAAAGACACACACATGTACAACACATAGCACCAACTTCCCGTTATTGAATATCAGAACCTGCTTGATGAGAAAGCGTAATGGCCTACGCTGCTCTTTATTTTAGTGTAAACAAACACGGTGTCTCCAAACCCCTGCTCAAGTGTGGCAGCTGTTTATTTTATGTTGATTGCTCACTCTTATTTAGGAGCACAGGTCTAGAAGGGACATCCTGGGTCAGGAGATCCAGTCCTTGATAATCCCAAGCATCACATTTTATAATCCTCCTCATTACCTTACTTTTCTTTAATGAAAACAGTCCCTTGTAGTTTCAGTTTGTCCTTGCAGTCACTTGCCCAGTGTGATTTTCTTGACATGGAGGAGCGAGCACCAAAAGTTGCCCTGTTGAGGGGTGGCATCACAACTAGAGCAGGGCGAAGAATGCTGCTCATCAAACAGGGATTTTCTGAAGCTGTTTACACTGCAGTTCTGCCTTTCTCGGTGGCAGTGTGTGCAAATTCTGCTGACCTAGCATTTGGTTTGGGTGCTAAAAGATGGATGCTCGCAAAAGTTAACTTTCTGATTTAAAGTAAAACAGGATCAAACAATTCCCCTCCCTGCTTTCGTAGATGGAAACAGGTCAGATTATTTTCTGCTTAGTCATCTGATGGTTATTGCAAGTGTAATGCTGCTCTGTCTGGTTGCACTAGGTTTTAAACTTGCTGTAGGATTAAATTTTGCATGGCTGAGCTTTAGTAGACCTTAGTCTGTAGTTTATTTTGGACAAAAGATTTGATAAACTTTGGCTCTCGGGGAGGAAGCCTGGAATCTGAGACTCACTATTATTCATTGACTTGTCTTTACGACTTTACAGTCCACTGATGCATAACACTGAGGGAAATATTTTCAGTGAAATGTTTGCTTTTTTCTTTGGCTTTGTAACATGCAATGTCTTTTCTTAGAGATATATGTCAGGGTCATATAGCTACTTCAGTGAACTGTGTATGGTCAGGAAATAGACTGCATTGAAAATATTTCATTTTTCCATGAAGTCAGTCTTCTAACTGAGACTTTCCCCCTTCTCCTCTCAGGGTTTTGGTCTCCCACTAACCACTATTTGAACATTAATTTTATGCACAAGCTGGGTTTAATTGTGGAAGAGAGTTTTCAACTGTATGGAACATTTTCAGTATTTTTGTATTACATCAAAATTTGCACATGACAGCAAACTTGTAAAAAAAAAAACAACAAAACCCCAACCCTATTTAAACATAAGGGAGTGTTCTTGGCTGGCATTTTCCTGTCCTCTTCTTGCTGTGCTGAAATATGTGTCTCTCACTTCCTTGCTGCTGTGGATGGCACAGCAAGGCTGGCCATTTAGCATGGTAGAGAGACTGACTCTGTAAACTTGAATGGCTCGGACATAACAGGTCTATTAATTGAATGCTTAAATGTTTAGGATGTGCTTACACATTTTTGCTGGATTGCGGCCCAGGCAAGCTCTGCTACCTCTTTGGATGGTCAGTGGGATGATTTGTCTGAGTTGGGAATACTAATGTAAATAAGGCTTTGTTGGACCAAATGTGCAGATGTTACATAGTACTACTGCGCACTGTTTATAAGACGTAAATGTCCTTTTCTTTTTCTCCACAGGTTCTTCTTGAAATTTTTCCTCAAATGTAACCAAAATTGCCTAAAAAATGCAGGAAACCCTCGAGACATGCGTCGATTCCAGGTCAGTCGGACACGCTTCCTCCTTTAAAAATCAGCAGCTGTTAGGGACAGAAGTACTTTGACCCAAGCTAACCTAGTAATTCACTGGAAGATGCTAAAAACATAAGGTCACAGAATATTGCCTGAGGACTTCTTGTCACAGCAGAATTGTCAGGAAGTAGTTGGGTTTTCTTGCTCTGGACAAGAGAAGTCTTGAAGATAATGTCACCTCCATGGGAAGTGAAAGCATGAAAAGGGAAAATCAAAATGACCTCACTGTTGTCTTAGGTTACGGGGCTACACTGCTCTGAGATATTCCTTTCTGCCTGGGGAACTATTTGCCTTTGTGTAAACACTAAGTGAGCACCATGTTTATTGGAGGGGGCAGAGGAGGGTATAAGAGCAATTAATAAAATCAGGCTTGTGACTACACTTCAGCAGTTAATCTTTAGCAGCATTAAGGATTCATAAACACACATCAATGGGATGAAGGTCCATCCCTGTAGTCAGCGCTTGGAAAAAACTACCATTTGGGGTACCCTTCTTGCGCTGTTCTGAGCTGGTATTTCCCAGCTGTTGCAACATGTGGCACTGGGACTTGGGAATTGTAGTATCGACACAGCTTCAAGAGGCCAAGGACGTTTTTTTTATGCTACACCTATGTCCACAAGTACTTTTGGGGTTAAGTATGGCACTGTCTCTTGGGGAGATGGTCTGCACTTGCCTTCTGCAGTGCTGGCAGCAGAGTGGTGCGGTGGCAATGCTGAGAAATGGTTGCTCCAACCCCTTTATTGAAGACGTGGTCCTTTGTGCCAATAATGCTTTACCCAAGTATGTGCTGAATAAAAATATGGGGTAGAGAGGCAGAGAACCTTCTTTATTGACGGGAGGAGTGTATGTGGCCCAAGGAGAAAACATGATTAAATCCTGTCAGTGGGGATTTGCCTCTAGGTTCTGAGGAAGACATAGGAGATTTGTCCCAGAGACATGGTCTCTGGAGGAAGACAACTCCAAGAGCAGCTGCTTTCTGCAGTAGCTCAGGACCTTGTTTGCTTCTTTTCCAGCATTGTCACACTTAAGTAAAAGTGCTAAATGCTATGTAAATAGCAATATTATTTATATGTGGAACATACGGGTTTTGTTGAACTGCTTAATTGCGACATCACTGGAAGGCAGAAGGATGTTATTTGCCCCTCTGAGCACAGAAGTGCAGAATAGAACAGCAGAAGTGAGGAGATGTGGCCACAGGGATTAAATTAATCAGCATAAGAGCTAGCATTAGCGTGGCAGAGCCCTTGGCTTCTCACCCCACGCTTCTCCCTCCGTCACGTTTCTCCTGTGATTCGGGAGGGCATTATCACTGAAGGAGAAAGTGGAAGAAGGACTCTCACCGGCACAGGGATTTAGGCCAAGCAGTCACCCCTGGGGCCTGTCAGAGCTTGCTTCACAACATGTACACTCTGCTGGGTTTGCGCTCGTCCAGGCTTGAGGCTGATTTTCATATGGTAATGCCTTCGCGTGTTCTCTCAGAACAGTAATCAGGAGCCTGTGTCGGCAAGTAGGTAGGACATAGGAAAGGTTGTTGATCTCTTGACTTGTAAAGACATTCTGTCATACAAACCCAGCTTCACAGCAGTTGAGCTTTCCGTGTGTAAACAGAGACTGCTTAATTACACAGGTCATGTCAATTAGTGTGACCTTAGCATTTTCAAGAAATTAATCACTTTCAGCCAGGCGAACCACTCATACTATAATACAGGGTGATATTGAAGCTTGCAGCATTCTGTTAAGTGCCCAGGCTTATTGTTTTACAATAGCTGCTTTTGTTTCTTTTTTTTTTAAAAAAAATTTTTTTTGAACTTGTTGCTCTCTTAGCAGTAGACTTCATAAAATAAAACAGCCTGATTCTATAGAGCCCAGGCTTCATTTATCGTTTCTTAGGGTGAAAAGGACCAAGCATACACATAGAATCTCAATGATATGATGCACCTAGATGGTTGAGACAGTTTTGTATAGGAACCAAGTGAAATCTGGGCTCCTGTGAAATCAGTGAAGGGTTTGCTATCAGCTACCTTTGAAATATTGCCAGTGGATTAGAAGGTCTCTAATAGTTATGTCAAAGTTCTGGTTAAAAACCATGAGAGCAAGGTATTTCCAGATACTTCTAAAATAGCAGAACACTCTTTTTACACATAAAAAATGGAGACTTTCCCTTGATTTACTTCGTTCCCCTATCTGTGCTGGACTGTGAAGCTGCCCAGAGATTTGTCCATTTTTTGGCCGTGGTCTCTCATTCACCAGTCCTCAAAAGTTGCTAGGAATTATTAGAATGCAGGTTATGGTTTTGGTGGGAGAAACAGTGAAGGGCCAGGAACACAAGTCTTGCACTATCTAAGGACTGGCCCTGCAGAAAATGTCCTTTCTTAGTAGTTTTGTTGGTGTTTTTTTTTTTTTTTTTTTTTTTCCCAGCGACAGGGGTTTGGT